AGTCAGGTAGCGGCCGCATGAAGGAGGAAGAAGGAGGTAAAAAGTAAATGAGTGGAGGCCCTACAAAGGGGGAAAGAGGGGGTAGATAGTGAATGAGTGGATACAAAAGGGGAATGAGAAGGTAGGTAGTGAATGAGTTAAGGCTCTACTAAGGGGGAAAGAGGAGGTAGGTAGTGAATGAGTGGAGGCCCTACAAAGGGGGAAAGAGGAGGTAGGTAGTGAATGAGTGGAGGCCCTACAAAGGGGGAATGAGAAGGTAGGTAGTGAATGAGTTAAGGCTCTACTAAGGGGGAAAGAGGAGGTAGGTAGTGAATGATCGGAGGCCCTACAAAGGGGGAAAGAGGAGGTAGGTAGTGAATGAGTGGAGGCCCTACAAAGGGGACAGAGGAGGTAGGTAGTGAATGATCGGAGGCCCTACAAAGGGGGAAAGAGGAGGTAGGTAGTGAATGAGTGGAGGCCCTACAAAGGGGGAATGAGGAGGTAGGTAGTGAATGAGTTGAGACTCTACTAAGGAGGAAGGAGGATATACGTAGTGAATGAGTGTAGGCCCTACAAAGGGGGAAGGATGAGGTACGTATATGTAGTGAATGAGTAGAGGCCCTAGAAAAGGGGACAGAGGAGGTAGGTAGTGAATAGTCGAGTTATTCAATATTACGTTATTCTTAATCAATTATACTGTTCATCACTCTAAATATTTGATAATTTGGATATTTCCAGTCTTATCATTTCCAATCACAAGATTGTGATCAATGTCAATACTTAGTCCACCATCACATGCATAATCTATATAACAGACAAAGTTACCATCACAATCAATAATATGGAGAATGTTGTTTGAGTTGTCATTTATCAGTATTTGAGTATTCGCGTCAGCAGCAATATGCATTGGTTGAAACTCTGTGTATTTTGATTGTTTCAAGAGGTTGCCTGTATACATGAATCTTAATCTCCCAGAGAAATCCACCACAACAACTGCCATCTTAGAACAGTCAGCAACACAAATATCTCCATTTCCATTCTCAGTCAGTGGAAGAACAGTCTTACCACCAGTAGAAAACAGAGGTTGTTTCTGACTGTCATACTGAATCGTCTGAATCTTCGTGGCCCCTGAATATCTCACCACTTTACTCTGCGTCCAATCGGTAGATCGCATACTCACCAGTAGATCCGCATTACCCGAATGATATAGACCAACAGGAGTCCAGTTAAGTGTGCTGAGTAAAATATCAACTTTGCCACTTTTATAAATATATACATCTGTATTTGTTTGACGAGAATTACTTAAAGAAAACACTGGTTCCATTTGTGAATTAATGGTTAATGCCCACACATTATCATATGTATGAATTGTATTTAAAACACATCCTGTCTTATCTATTTGCTTGATTGTTTTGTCATCTCCATTTATTAAGATCGTATCGTTCCCCACACACTGCACTCTCCACAGCTCATATAAAAGTCCATAAGGAGTTCGTATTGTGCTAACTTCTTTTGGATCATCCATCATCTTAAGCATTCCCAGCTGCCTGACTGGATCAGTGACCGTATTAAGAAAACCTATCATTCCAGTTATTTGATCCTGTTTGATAATGCCAGGAAGAAACTGTTGACAAGAAACCTTTGGCAAGTTTGGGCCTTTTCTGAAATTGCAATTTTTTGATTGGTAGTTAATAATGGTTGTTGCTTCATTTTCTTTAAGGATATCATTGTTATTCTGAATGATCTGATCAATTTCTTTCTCAACCAAAGACTGTTTTTCCTTGCATTTTCTTATGGCTTCATTCTTCTTATTTGTCACCTCATTCTTGAGACTACTACCAGCTTCATGCACAGCTTTACAAATTTTATCCTCTTGTTCTTCTATTGCAGACAGAACTTCATCAAACACTGCAGTGGTTGTAGTTAGATCGATTTTTCGGTATCTTGGAGAAATAACATTTTCCAATTCTTCTATGTCAGATTTAATTTGCTGTTTATGTTCTTGAAGAATATGACTGATATCGGTAAATTCATGCTTTTTGTGCGAACCCATTAGACACTGAATACATATTGGTATTTGACAGTGTATGCAATACGTCTCACATTGGTATTTCTTGTGTGTAAGACATAATGGAAGAATAACTGTGTGTTCTTTTCTGAAAGTGTATTCTACAACTTCATGTCTTCTTGATTTGTCAGCCATATGTTTTGGTATGCATGAGAGGCATAGATCCACGTGACATAGATTACAGTGATGCTCCACAGGATTGGAACACAATCGACAGCGAATAATGTCCTGTCCCTGGGCGGTAGCCATATCTATTGATATCTGGAATTAAAAGAACATCATATTACCTGCAGGTTGAAGTACACAATAATTATGCAATCATTGAATTTTAAAGATTTAGTAGTCATATTGATACATGTGCATACATAATTTCTAGAAACTTCATGTTGCTGTACTGTAAGCAAGTCGTTTATACAAACCCACGCATTAAAAAATATATAACGCAGTACTATATAGAAAGAAATTAAGTGGATATTAAGTCAATATCATACTGTACATGAAATAGAGTTTTGAATTATAAGTTCAGCATTTATTTTATAACATTGATAATAAAAAAAAGTGTTAGGAAGACTCAATAAGATACTCACTATTTCCTGTCAATTCTTCATTAAAATCAACATTTTTTTTACTTTCGTTTTAAACTAGTGTAATGAATTTTCTGGATCAATATGCAGCTTGATACCCTTGTGTTATTGACGTAGTCAGGTGATTTAAATTTTCAAAATTTAAAACTGGGTCATCATTTTATCTCGTCTACCTGTATAAAGAAACATAAGTTACTCATGCACATATCAGACCTTTAAAAAAATCTCTGTGCCCGCTTATCTGCATGTTTATTCAACTCATTTTCTTCTCAAGTTTATTCAAATGAAGGGTCACACTCTCTTACAAGAGGATTTCATTAGAATTCAATGAAACTTAGTAATTGTTGTTAAAAAACTTCTTCTCAAGAACCAGTGTTCTAGGAAAGATGCAACTTTTATGAGCACTATGGACATTATGATTTGTGGAATGATTGATAAACGATAATAATCATTTCATTTAATTGCATAATGTATAAATTAAATGTTTAAATATTTTTGCAAAAATTAGTGTATCTTGTTTTCATCATATTTCCATTCCAACATTGTCAAATGTTTATTCTCTCAACCCATTGACTACAGTAATAATGTATTGTACGCTTTCCTTTAATGGAACCATGTTTGGATTGATTGATTGATTGTATATTGTTTAACGTCCCTCTTGAGAATTTTTCACTCATATGGAGACGTCACCGTATGCCGGTGAAGGGCTTCAAATTTAGACCTGTACTCGGCACTCAGGGCCTTTGAGCAGTGAGGGTTCTTTATCGTGCCAGCGCCTACCGTGACACGGGACCTACGTTTTTAAGGTCATATCCGAAAGACCCGTGACTTTCACTTCTGATGCCGAGCGCTTGGCGAAGGAACAGTCACTACCTATTTTTACGTCTTAGGTTTGACGCGGCGCCGGGAACGAAAATCGAACCCGGACCTCCCGATCACGAAGCGAACGCTCTACCACTAGGCTACCGTGAACGGTAAACCATGTTTGGAGGAACATCTTTACAAACAATTGAATTCAAAATAAAGTAGTGCATCATGTAAACATGATTTTTCTCTTTTTATTTTTATGAAATATTCAGTACATTTTTCTCTGATATTAAAAGTATTTCAGTGGAGTTCAACTAGTTTTATGATTTGCGGACATTAATAGAGAAAACATCACAACTACATGTAACTGAAAGGTCGTTTACAAAAAGAAGAATTCACTTTTAATTTTTTCGCTTAAGTTCAGCTGAAATCTTTTAAAATCAGCAACAATAAATTATTCTATTTGCCAATAATTCATTTTTGGTGATTGATTTTACATGTTGAAGTTTTGCTTTTGAAATACTGACCAAGAGACAGCACTAAGGGACAGGACCCACGCTTTTATTAATGAACACAACATAAAGATTTTCTAAAGTATGGGATATCAATGTAAATGACGAGTACCATTAAATCTTTTTTTTTTTTCAAAATGATTAACTACATATACATTTTTTTTTTTATCAATTATGTCCTCATTTAATAAAAAAAAAAGTATTAACAGGAAAGGGGGGTGAAAGAATGAATAAAAGTAATAGTATAAACACAATTTAGACTATATAAGCATATACATGTCAAATCTGAAATAGATAAATAGTAACAGTATACTTTTCAGATTTCAAATTATGAAGGCAACTATGTTAAGGGCTACCAAAGGTAGATCGTTGTATGCAGAGCCTCGGGAATTTGATTATGACGTCACAGTGAAATTATACAAATGAATCTCGGCGAATAAATAATAATTTTCTTTTTCATATACTTTTACATACTTTGATTTCTCAGGATAATTGTAAATATAAATCAATGTGTAACTTATCTTGTCATTACAACACTATTAGAATGTAAAATCAAAGCCAACTTGATTTCGCTTCACTAACAGATATGACGTCATAGACTAGTTTGACACGCAGTTTCTCTGTACTTGAGACGCAGATAAAGCTATTAGCTGAACTGAAAATATGAAAATTAAATCTAAATAAGCGTGATCTGACTATAATTGATTCATATTTTTGAATGCATTTATCAATAGTTCACAGTCTTTTTTTATTGATAACTATTAGGTCTCTTATAAAGCCGCAGTCATGCACTTTTATACAGAAACGTACAACAGTCACATGTACAACCCATCCAAAATATCAAAAATTCAACAATATACGCTTGATTATAAATGATAATATTTTATACACATGTAACTATTGTCTCTACTATTTTGAAAAGTGCTGGGAGCAAGTTGTGCGCTGTTGAGTTTTTCCGTAGTTTTACATTTCTTCAATGCGTATAGTGTAAATGCACATAGTTTATCAAAAGTCGGCTAAATTTTATATAATTCCCGGGCATGGAGAAGTTGCTCCCAGCACTTTTCGGGTTAAGAAATTTGTCTTAAAGAAAACACAATCAATTTCATAGTGAAAAATAATCCGAATATCCTTGAACTTTTACGATCTTTGTATCCGTACATATTTTTTTCTAATTTTAAACATGTCACGTGACAAACAGCTGATGTACGTGAAGTCGCGTTGGCCGAACTCGGTTGAGACCCCATACATACATGTGCATTAGTATAGTTCCCATTAAATTAAAACTTGTGCTAATAAAAAAAATCAACATTATATTGATTTTTTCGGAATATTTTAAGGCTTATTTCCTATGGGTGGTCTTAACCAAGCTGCAAAATGACTAATTAAAACATAACCTGATAAAAATGAGAAAATTGGTAAGGCATATGATAGAAAGACGTATATTTCATACAGCAAAATTAAGGATTCACTGTCTAGTTAGTATAGTATGCCTGGGCATCAACAGTACTGGGAAACAGGGGATGATTTGCATAAAGGGCAAAGCCGGATTATGCATAAATTATCCCATGTTTCCCACTATCGTTGATGTCCCAGGCATACTATACCAACTAGCCAGTGATTCCTTATATTTCCATTTTATTGTGAATTAAAATTGTAGATTTAGTTTCAAAATTGTAGACATAGATTTAAATTACACGAAGAATCCCATGCCAATATTTCAATAAACCTCGCCCACTGACGTCAAACACAAATTAAAGACAGCCGCAAGGGATGTATATGCATATTTAAGGCCTCCCTTGCTCCTGACCTATCGACCTGCCTAATTTACATTCCGGTAGAATCATCAAGAAATCAACTCCGCTAACTTTCAAAGAGTTACATGTATAACATAGAAAAAATAATAAGAAATGGAAATTTTCATATATATGGGTGATGAATGACAAACATAGAGTCCCATCTATTACTAACAATAAATAATATGATCCTCCTGTGGTTGGCCCTCAGCTACTTCCTCATTATTTAAGTCATTCTTAAAGAGTTATGCGATCCTATCTAAAGTAAAAAAAATATACCAAATTATGTTATAGAATAACGTGACAAGCAATTAGATAAATAATGTACGTGTGTATGTCAAATATGCTACATTTCAGAAGTTCCAAAAGTTTATAAAAAGATATATATGTATGTATTCATATCTATTCATGCTGTATTATTACATATGCTTATAATTGTTGGGGGGAGAGGGAGGGGGGGGGGGGTATATGAATGTTATCAAGTTATCAAAAAAAGGATATCAATTTTATATTCAATTTATGTAGCTTCTTTGTAACATGAACTAGTGTCATTTTTCTTCCAACAAGTTCTGAGTTTACAATAAATAAAAAAAAATACACAGAATCTATAGATCTGGCATTGAAGTGGTTTAAAGAATTTTGTCTTTCAGTTTTGATTGGTGTTAGTGTCTGTGCAGTTTTCTAGACATGTAATTAAGTCCAATCAATTTTCGCCAGGACTTCGGATTTTAAAAAAAAAATATATTTCAGACTACTCTTAGTCTTCCATCATAAGAAGTCCCTCCTATTAAAATCATTTTTTTAATTTTTAGTTTTCTTTTTAAATTTTCCTTTTTGAAAATAATTTTACTCTTAATATCATCAACGCATGTAAATATTATTTGCCTTTGCTAGAGTCATTGTGAATCTAGATTTTAAACAACAGTTGTATGTTTTGTTTAGTTTTACTGAAAAATTATTTTGTACATGGAGCAGAATAATTGTCTAAGTGTTGACAAATCTTATTCATTTTGTCAGCATGCTTTTAAGTCTGTTGTGTAATGTACACGTATGTAGTTTGACAATAGTCGGAGTCAGATATGTTATGAAAAAGAAAATAGTCATGAAAGAAAATACCTATAAAATACAACTGAGAAAATTCTGAGACGTAAAACAAAGAATTTAGTTCGAACTCGGTCAGTGTGCAATATATTTTTGTTGGAATTTTATTATTTTTTTATTTATTATTATTTTTTTTTTTTGCAAATCAATGACGTCGCTTTTTCTATTGAGCCGTAAAATTCTATCAGATTACATAAGGGCGGATGGGTTGCTTGGAATGGCTTAAATGCAATCATATTTTTTTTTAAGAAGTAAAATAAACTTCAAATAGTTATTGATTATTTTTCATCGTTATTCGAAAACATGATGAATCTAAGTCTTTATCGAAAACTAATTTTATCACTGGAACATGTAGAAATCGTCATTTTTAATAATGATGAATTTTAGTCCCACACTTGACTAATAATGGATTCTACACGGGAAACTCTCTAGAGTAAACATAAACTTGTAATTGTTATGTTTTTATCGTACAGTTATAAAGTTCATCACTTCAGGTATTTGATTATTTGAATTTTTCCAGTGAGCAAGTCTCCTAAAACAAGATTGTGGTCAGCATCAACACTTAGTCCTCCATAATTATACTGATTTTCAATATAACGTAGAAAGTTACCGTAACTGTTAATGACATGCACAATATTGTTAATATTATCAGATATCAGTATCTGGGCATTGACATCAGTAGCAATGTTGGATGGTTTGAATTCTTGGTATTTTGATTGTTTGGAGAGATTGCCTAGATACCTGAACCGTAATACCCCGGAAAAATCAATCACAACAACTGCTCGTTTAACATAATCAGCAACACAGATATCTCCATTGCCATTCTCAGTCAGAGGAAGCACATTAAGGACTCCAGTAGAGAACAGAGGTTGTCTTTGAGTATCATACTGTAACTTTTGTTTCTCTGCGGTCCCTGAGAACCTCACTATTCTGCTCTGTGTCTTATCGGTGGAGCGCATGCTCACTAGCAGATCTCCATCTACTGTATAACATAACCCAACAGGAATCCAATCGGGAATACTGAGTAATAGTTTCATGCAGTCCTTGTATATGTAAATGTTTGTTTTGTTATATGAAAAGGTACTTAAGCAAAACACTGGTTCCAGTTGTAAATTAGAGGTCAATACCCGAACATTTTCATTTGTATGAATTGTTTTTAGAATTGAACCATCCTTGTCAATTTCTTTGATCGTGCTGTCATCTCCACTGATCAAGATCTTGTCAGTCCCCATACAATGTAGATGCCACAGCAACTGATCATTCCCATAAGGACTTTGTATATTGCTTAGAACTTGGGGGTCACCCATCATCAACATTCTTGGCACTTTTTGCAGATAATCCTGTGTCTTTAGAAAACCAAACATGGCAACGATTTGGTCTTTTGAAATAATTCCAGGGTATAATTGGGGGCAGGAAATTCTTTGAAATTCTGGACCTTTCTGGAAATCCTTGTTTCTTGATCGATATTTTATAACTGCTGTTGCATCACTGTCCCTAAGGATATCTTTGTTCTTTTGAACAATTCCATTGAGTTGTTTTTCAGCTTTTTCTGCCAAAGTCTGGCTTCCTTTATTTTTTCTCATGGCTTCTTTCCTCTGTTTAGTTATTACATCTGTGAATTGAAGGCCTACTTCACGTACAGCTCTACAGATTTTATCTTCTTGTTCTTTTACTGCAGAAAGAGCTTTGTAAAAATCTGCTGTGGTTGAAGATATGATATCGTTTTTGTATCTTGGAAGAATGGTATTTTCTATTTCTTTTGTGTCAGAAGTAATTTGCTGCTTCTGTTTTTGAATAATGTCATCAATATGTGTAAATTCATGCTTTTTATGTGAACCCATCATACATTGAAGACATATTGGTATTTCACATTCCTGGCAGTATGTTTCGCAACGGTTTTTCTTATGCTGTAAGCATATAGGAAGAAGGACTGTTTTTTCTTTTCTAGAAGTATATCCAACAATTTCATGTTCTCTAGATTTGTCGGCCATGTGCTTTGGTATACATGAGAAGCAAAGGTCAACATGGCAAAGATTACAGTGGTGTTCCACAGGGTTAGAACATATATGACAGCGAATGACATCTTGTCCTTGGGCAGAACCCATGTCTATTTTAAACTGTAACAAGAAAAAGCATATAATTAAGGACAAGATCAAGTAAATGAAAGGTTACTACAGATGTGTCAAGTTTAAGAAATGAATTCCTAGACGGTTTTTCGAGGCATAATTTTTAGGTATGCAAGATGAAAAAATATATCTTTAAACTGTCATTTTCAATGGAAAATCAAGAAAACCAGTCATAAATATGGCATTATTTTTTTTTCATATTAGACAAAGAAAATGTATCCAGATTGCATACAGTGTTTCAGCAAACGGTAATATGTTCATGGTCTCTTCGTAATATTTAGAGAACGAGACGGCTTCTGTGTCGTAAATACAAATTTGGGGGGTGGACGAGTGCGTAGCATGAGTCTCCACCCCCAAATTTGTATCAACGGTACCGAACCTGTCTAGTTCTCTAAATGATTTGTGAGACGATCAATCAAGAATAGCACCTCCCACTTTATAACTGTGCAGCATCCAAACTACCGGCAGAGTTCTGTAAATCTATAATAGTGTACTATTTGTACGTGCTTTTGCTAAATTGAATCAGATTTATTTTTTTGATCTTGCTGTATTTTACATTCAGAATAGTTGGCAAATACAGTACGGTATACTGGGCTAATACAGAACGGAAAGAAGCTCCGCCTACCACATCCCCGTTCTCTATTGCTAATACAGAACAGTAAACTTCAAAGAAAAACACCACTATTGTGTCACAATTTAAAATAATGTTAAATTTAATATAGGAATTTTATGGAATGTGTCCGAATTTTATCGACACCGGAAACTTCCATAAGGCGCTACCTATCGACAACGGAAACTTCAACAAAGCCTCTACCTAGTACCTATGTTTTGTTTCTAACACATATAACATATGTTAAATAAAATCAAGACTATCAAAACAACATAATCTTTCGGTTTTTTTATTTTTTTCTGATTTTGTTTGTCAATGAAATAAATTTATAATTGTTGTATTAAAAAAAGTTTATGTATAGGAGCATTTGGTGTCGAGATTAAATTTCCGTGACATCAGCTGATTGCGATCGGGCCCTGTGACGAAATTCGAAGTCAGCATGAAGTTAAGCTGTAACATTATCAACGCGTTAGATTTAAACTTTAGGAAGAAATGTATAGCGAGAAATATCATATTTGAACCCAATGCTACACGTAAACCAGTAGGCATTTCCGATTTATGTTTTAAATTGAAGTCTGAATCGAACAGGGGGTCAAAATGGCGTTGGACACCTTGTGTATTTATATATAGAAGGGGTAGAATGTTGCGATATTTGGCTAATTTAGAGACTTACTGATAAAAATGCAGGTGGCTGTGATTAATTATAAGGCACCCCTCATAGACAATAAATATTTGACCGAATTATGCTACTGGGCAAAGGGAGGGCGGGTTAATTACTGGCTAAAGGGGTTGAAAGTTATTACCGACTGCAAAACATCGGAGAATCTCTCGATCGAGTTTCATTTTCCAAAATATTAAAGCATCCCTTTAATTAACTTAAGTAATACTAGTACACGAAGAAAGCCTTTATATAAAAATACTGAATACATCTGTAAGTTTATGGATTGCTTCCGTAATGAAACGTTTGTTTTCTTCTCCTTTTTTCTCAATTGAAATTATTTAAAAGATGATAAAAGCTTTGTATCCAGGGATAAATTCTGTACTCAGTCTAATTATTACAAACGATTTTAAACGATCACATTTTTATTTAAAAAAAATAATAATGGGAGCCTGAAAATACTAAAATTAATTTTTAAAAATCGGAGAAAATTTAATCGGCATTCGATCCTTTTCTAAAAATCAGCCGATATAAAATATGCACAGAAAAAAGAGGCATGAAAAATTTTGACGATAAGCACAAATTGAAAATTATATCTAATGAATGATTATTTTTGAAAGTTTGCTAAATTCCTATGCAAGGTATAAGTTGTAAAAATACTTTTTAAATTTTAATTTGTCCAATTTGTTAATTATCATTTTGAGCCTTTGAGAAGAAATAAAAATTAAAATACATATGCTTACAGACATATTCATAGAAATTCACATACTTGTTTTTAGTAAAAAACAAAACAAAACAAAAACAATGTATTGCTTATGCGACATATTGAAGAAAGTGACAATGATACCTAGGTAATTCTTGCAATGGACAATTAAATTGTTTGTTATACACTGACTTTTAGTGAACCTTTGAATTTTGAAAATACTAGTATTGATGGATTAAACAACAACTTTCCTTTTCACACTTTTTTTTTCAATATACAATATTTACAATATTTGATGAAAAATATTTGCCAAATACTCAGTATATGTTCGTTTATTCATATCGTGCATGACTCTTTTTTTAAATAATTGTCATATACCATTTACTTATTGGAACATTTAATTGTATGAAAAGTCAATAATGTACATTTTTTAAAACTTTATTATCTTGTTTACTTGTCTTTCTTCCTGTGAGAGAAAAAGTTCATAATATAAATAACCAGATGTACTCAATATCTGTATCAAAATACAGAATGAACAGTGATCGGTCTCAAAAGAAAAACGGATCCTTGAAAGTTCCGGTGCCTAGGAGAAGTAAGCATCCCCAATGACAGGTCACACCTGCTGACCCGCAGTGAGCCTACGAAACTGAAGCTCTCTGAAATTAATTAATTCTCTGCTCGTCCATCCGTTTTTATCAGACTAGCCAGCTAAAGGTCTATGTACAGTACTCCAAATCAATTAATCTAAAGAATTTGAAATATCATTTTATTTTATTTTTGAGTTGTTTGCTATAGTAGCCTTTATAGTTACCTAATATCAGAATCAATAGAGCATGAAAGCCAATTAAATTTGCAACATCAACATAATTTTTTTTCGTTCTGAGCACTTTTGGACGCCACCAATGGAGACAATTAAGGAAAAAGTTTTGAAATTGAACTTCCTGTCTTTCGAACTGAAAATCTCAGGTTGATATTTTGAAACATACATACATTTGTGACACCGTTCTGACATGTTATTGGTTTTACCATTTAGTTAATAAGTTCTACAAAATTCAGTGTGTCTGCTTCTTTGCTGATGACATTGGACAAAGATATGCATGCTTACTTTAATATCATCATTCAATGCATTTTTTGTTATTGTACACTGTACATATTCGATGAAAGCATGCTAACCACTTTTCAGTACTTTCAGTACTTTGATTTATAGATGATTTTGCAAATTTCACTTACCTTTTACTTATGTTTTAGATTAAATAAGGCACAAATAAAATAAAGTATAATATAAATACTTGTACTCACTATTTTTTGTCAAATTTCACAAAAAATTAATAATTTGTACATTTTGCTTCACACTTTTAAGAACTTCCGTAATCAGTGGTATACAGTTCGGTATCTAAGGTGCGCTCATCAGATGATTTAAATCTACAAAGCCATAATTGTAGCCATTGTTTAAAGTTGACACCTCAATCATACTGATGTAAATACCGGTAAATCAGATTTAGATATATGAGATACGGAGATAAAGAACAAAATATAAACCCAAAAGCCCATATAAACGATACAAATCAGGAGCAGAGCCTTTAAAACATTGAATCAGAAGTGATATCAGAAGTGATATGCCTCCCCTGTAAATAGGATTAAGGCTTTTGTGTATTCTGTTGTATTTAATCGTGTAATCAGGGCTATAAATGTAATAAGGGTGGAGGGTTGTTTCTTCAGTCGGCCAACAAACAATTAATTTTTTGATGCACATATATCAATTACACACCAGAATTACTATAACCCAATCATTTTGAGTACTTCAAAATTTATATTTATTTTTCAGTTTCCAGGGTAAAAGGCATTGTATATATCATTTTATGTATTATTAATTTTTTGAAGAAGCCTTTACAATAGATGTAATTACATATATGAAATGATTATTAAATACATAAATATGTCCAGTGTAAATGTGAATTAAAACATCAATACATTTCTAAGTCTATGTTTTTGTGACAATGATCAATTTGCCAAAAAAAAAAAAACCGAAACAAACAAACAAACAAACTTAGCTACCTACACACCTTGAAGAATGTTAACTGGAGAATAATCAGCTAAAAAAATCAACATTAAATGATTGCCTGAACTGCCTTGTAATCCCTTCATATAAAGGACAAGACAGGGTAAGATCAGTATTTGGCCCCCGATTTCGGGTGTCTTTCAGAATGATCTAACAGTCCATCCATAAAAACTTGTCACCTCTGCCACAAAATGAGCACTGGTTCTAAGATTTAGAATCCAATTTTCGAAATTTCTCATTTTTATGCAAATTTTCATCGATTTTACTGCACATTTTGTTTGAGAAAACATAGAGCACCCACTTGCCAATCTACGAAATTTATATCTTTTATATACTTATATCAGATTCAATTTTTGTGTAAAAATCTCAGATAGGCAAGCTTGTGCTCTTTGTTTTCCGAAAAAGAAAAATATCTCAAATATGACGACGGTTCACGGTAGCCAAGTGGTAGTGCGTTCACTTCGTGATCGGGAAGCCTGGGTTCGATTCTCGTTCCCGGCGCTGCGTCAAACCTAAGACGTAAAAATAGGTAGTGACTGTTCCTTCGCCAAGCGCTCAGCATCAGAAGTAAAAGTCATGGGTCTTTTGGATATGACCTTAAAAAGGTATGTCCCGTGTCACGGTAGGCGCTGGTACAATAACTCTCACTGTTCAATGGCCCGGAGTGCCGAGAATTGATCTAAATTTGAAGCCCTTCACCGGCATACGGTGACGTCTCCATATGAGTAAAAAATTCTCGAGAAGGACGTTAAACAATATACAATCAATCAATCTCAAATAAGACGAAATTCCACCAGAATTGAGTAAATTCTGGAAATCGTCCTTCCGCACCCTCTTGTGGCTTCCATATTAGCTTTGAATTCAAATTAGTGCTTATTTTAAAGTAATCATTATGTTACTAATAACTTCTTAACTACAAACTATCACAATTTACTTTTGTTCAGATTTT